GACTCACACAACGAGGAGCCCGAACGACTCACACCAGGAATAGGGTCCCGAAGGACTCACACAAGGACGACGGGGCCGAAGGACTCACACCACGAGGGCCCCCAACGACTCCCACCAGTCGTCGTCGTCGTCGTCGTCGTCGACGTCGTCGTCGTCGTCGTCGCGGTTGTGGTCGTCGTCGTCGTTGCGGTCGATATCGTCGTCGTCGTCGGGTGCGTCGTCGTTGTTCAGATCATCGCTGTGGTCGTCGTCTCCGCTAAGTCCCTCTTGCCTCCCACCGCTTTCTCTCCCTCCTCCTCCGCCTCGTCCTTCTCCCGCTCCCCCCACAAGGAGGATGTACAAGGAGGCGGGAGGAAGGAGGAACAGGGGAGATATGCGGGGGCAAGCGGACACACGCCTGAAAAACACGACTGTCGGCATGTTTCGCAAGGGTTGCTGTTGTGAGATGGGCTGGTGGGGATACGCGAAGCGTAAAGAATTAAAGTCTCTCTCACTTGGCCCAGGCAGGTACGAGACCATGCAGTGCAGTTCCAGCATAAATCTGAAGTGGCCGATCGGCCCATTACTTTGACCCAAAGCCTCTACCGCTGTTGGCCCGTGATGCGGAGGGGGAGGGTGTCTCGTTGGGCGGCGGGTGAGGGTGGGGCTCGTTTCTAGGACAACTCGGTCAGAGGCAGCTCAGCTCTCAGAGCAGCCATTGCGTGTCAGCTGCAGCTGGAGATTTCAACTGTCCAGGGGTTTTCCTAGGCTGAGATCCTGTGGGGCCTGGAAAAGCTTTACGATTTTCAGGCTTGCTCGGGCCACGGGCACTCCTATGTTTGAGCTGTTCCTAGGGATGCCTGTTCACTTTGCTCCCAGGAGGGTTCGCGCTGAGAGCAGCATCGGCGAAGTAATCACCCCGTGGCGAGGCATACTTGCAGGATACAACCAGTCAGTAGATGTTGCCAGCGTAGCCCTGTTTGAGATTTTGCAGGACCTGTGCGACTCGTTCAGACCCCTCCAGCTTTATACGTGGGTGGGAGATTTTTCTCAGCGGGTCTCTGGGCATTCTCGGGGGGTGGTCTCGAAGTCGGTGCGGGTGGCCAAAAAGTTTTGGGAATTCTGCAAGAATAGGGGACTCAATGTCCCAAGCAAGAGTGTCCTCGTGAGTTGCCCTATACACTTGGCCACCGAAATTCAGTCAGCCCGTTCTGTTTACGGCCTGAATGTACAAGCCAATCAGGTTGCTAAACATTTGGGAGTGGACGCCGCTGTCGCCTCTCGCAGCGTCGCCACCCAGAAAAAACATCGAGGTGCCTCGGCCAGCCGTGCCAAACTGATCACTCAGGTGGTCAAGGTGGCGCCCAGAGCAAGAGTTCTAGGACGCGCCGGCTTGTTGCCGCAGGCGGCGTGAGGGCTCGAACGTATAGGCCTCGCTCCCTCGGTGCTCTTGCGGCTGCGTGCGCAGGTAGCGGATCTGTCAGGAGCCAGATGTGAGTGGGGTTGCTCGACCTTTTATGATGGGCGCCGATCACGACCTTTGATTCGGACGCTTGCAAGTGTTTCGATCGTGGTATGAGCTCCTCCCCAGTGTGCTTCGCTCGAGTGAGAAACCGTTGCAGATCGCGTGGACAAAGGCCTGGAACCAGTTGCTCACTGTTAAGCGCAGGTGGAGCCACGTTCGGGGCCCCCTCACGGCAATCATTGCTTGCTTGCAGGATCTCTCTTGGGACGCGCCTGAGCCGTGGATATGGGTCGACAGGTCTGACGTGGCCACTTTCAACCTGAGAGTTTGCGATCCCGAAAAACTGCTTGATTTGGATCTCAGAGGCTCCCTGGAAGGACAGATCTGGGCTAAAGCAGCCGGGCACTACCGCGGGAAAAGGCCTTGAGTTTAGTGCGGGTCTCACTCTTCCCTACAGGCGCATGCGCAGCTTGGAAGGCAAGACGCCTGCATGATCGGGCGGCCGTGCTGAGAATGGCAGCATCGGGGGGATTGTGGCCTGCCGCCGGGCGCTTTGGGGAAGAGAGTCTCCCTTCGCCTCCCCCCCGAGCCTCCCTCTTCCTCGACGGTCACGGCGGCGGTGGCGGCGGCGACGATGATGCATGCCCCTGCGCCAGAGGAGCAGGCAGCAACCGCCCCGCCCGCGCCGCCCGAGGCGGGGCGGCCCTCGGCGTCGGGACTCGACGGAGAGGACGACGTCCATGGATTGGACGACTTGCTGGAGCAGCAAGCCACGGAGGACATGCGTGGCCGCCAGGAGGCGGCCCCACCCCTAACCCCAGGCGGGGACCGTCGCCCACTCGACACCAGTTTGCCCGAGGTGCGGGGCAGAGTCGGAAACTCTGCTCCATCAACTCTGGTCCTGCCCCGGCAACGCTCAGACGGAAAGGGTATGTTTAGACCTCGGTTCCCAGGCCGTTCAGGATTGGGAGAAGTTTCGATGTTTTTGGCTCCGAGGCTTCGCCCTCTGAGGTGGACCTCGGTGCCAACGGTGCTTGATACATCGTATCCTGCTGTATATTCCCCCAGCCTAAGCCAAGGACCAAGGACCGATCGAGTTGGAGGGGGGGGATGTCGTCGTCGGGTCGGACGGGTCGGGCGGTCCCTAGTCGTTGGAGGCCAGGTTACGGAAGTGCGGTTGGGGCCTTTCCATAATTCGGGGGGATCGGCAATCAAGATGGGGGTTTGGATCTCTCCCGGGGTTTAAACAGTCGGTCCCCCTCGCCGAGCTCGAGGCCATCATCCAAGCCTTGATGCACACTGCTGGCGACATTGTGCTTGCAATGGGTTCGGCTGTCACGATCCCCGGGTTTCACAAAAGGCCCTACTTCTCCCATGGTGTGAATGTTGCCGTTTGGAAAAGGTTTTGGGAGCCGCCGAAGGTCGCTCAATTGTCCTGCGTGGGGTCAAGAGCCACAGGAAACCCGCACCTGAGAGATTAGATGGCCCGCCTCTGCAGTTGTGCTCGCGAGCGGTGCAGCAGACCTGGCAGCGGAGTGTGGTGCTCTTAGGTGCCAGCTGCCCCCGCACGTTGTTCGTAAACTTGTTCGCATCGATGAGCTAGCTGACCAGAAGAGTTCAGAAACACTTGGTTGCCGTGACCCTCCACATTGCAACCAAAGTCCCCGAATTGCACGGCCCTTGCTCGGAGGCTGCCCGTGCTGCCGAGGCGAAGCTCTGGGGCAAGGACAGAGCCCGCAAGGTGGAGGAAGGTAGGCGGCGTTTATTCATCGGATCGGGTGCGACACTACGGGCACGACATGCTCGCGGTGTCTCACTCGGCCCTCGGCAGAGCTGAAGGTGTGCGAATGGCTTGCCTCGCCCTTTTGCCCAGGTCCCCGCGAATGTCGACCCCTCCCATAAGCTGGGGCCGTGTAAAAAAAAGGCCCTTCTGGTGTCACCCCTGCGGGGCCACGGGCACGCGGGGGAAATTCATTAAGCTCGGCAAAGTATGCCGACCTGGTCAGATCGGTACCTGGGGGAGGAGGGTCCTGAACACTCTTGAAGCAGGGCGTCTTCCCCCGAGGCCCAGGGCCTGGTCTGAGCCAGACGCGCTTAGTTTTTCGTTTTGGCGTGCCCGATTCTGGGATCTCACGCTGCAGTTCTGAACGTGGGTGAGGAGGAGGAGGAGGAGGGGGGGGGGAGGAGCAGGAGGAGGAGCACGAGGAATAGGAGGAAGAGGAGGAGGACGAGGAGGACGAGGTGGGACGAGGGACGAGGAGGAGGAGGACGAGCAGGAGGAGGAGGAGGAGGAGGATGGGGGAGGAGGAGGATGGGGGAGGAGGAGGATCAGGAGGAGCGAGGAGAAGCGAGGAGCGAGGAGGAGGAGGAGGAGGAGAAGGAAAAGGAGGAGGAGGAGGAGCGCACGCGAGAAAGGGGGGAGGCGGGCCAGCAGCAACAGCAGCGAGAAAGATGAAAGTCCTGGTCCACCGCGCCGCCGTACTACCAGAGCGCTGAGCTACCCTATGAAGGGTGCCAGCCGGACGCAACGCCTCTTCAGTTGCTTGAGGCGGGCGCGCGTCCGATTTTCCACCGGTAGCCGCGCGCCCCCCAGCACACCGGCCTCGGACGAACCGGCAACTGGCTGCCAAATGGGGCACTGCGCAGGAAAGATGCTGGGCCAACGCGCAGGGCCCCCAACAGACCAGCCTCGGACGAACCAGCAACTTGGCACGATACCTGAGCGCTGAGCTACCCTATGAAGGGTGCCAGCCGAGCGCAACGCCTCTTCAGTTGCTTGAGGCGGGCGCGCATCCGATTTTTCAGCCGCCGAGTCCCACTCCGGGGCTGAAAGGATGGCGCGGAGCGTAGACCGTTTTTGGCTCTAGCCATTCTGGCTCAAACAATTTTGGCCCAAGCCATTTTGGACCAAGTGTGGGCAGGTCCAATTTGTGCGGGCAGCTTCTCTTGAAGGAGCGATTCCGAATGTCGTGCTCGGACGGGCGCTAATTCGCATCGTGTCTGCCGCCGCCGCTGCTGCCCCGCTCGGCGACTCCGACGTGGAAGGGGCGAGGAGTTCCAGCGTCAGGTTCGCGCTTGCGGGCCTCAGTCGGGTGCTGACTCCTCGCTTGCCGTCCTTGCCCGCGTGGAGCGCAACGTGGCCACGAAAGACGACGTCTCGGGCTTGCAGGCTTCCGTGCAGAAGTGTGAAGACAATATCACGCAGATCACCGCTCGGCTCTCCACTCTCGAGGCGCAGATGAAGGTGGGGTTGAATGCGGCACAAGATGCTGCTCTGTTTGCTCGGGTCGAAACCAACATGTTAGCATCCCAGTCGAGTGCTGGCGCTGCCAGTGCGCGTTCCAGACCCTCCTCGGTTGCTTCCTTCACTCGTTGGAGGTCTCGCTCGTCGGGTCCTTCCTCGTCACCGAGTTCCTTCGCTGGTTCTGGTGGTCTCGAGCGCGATGCCGACGCCGCGAAGATCTGGATTTGAGGTTTCCCTAACCCAGTGCTCGCGCGTGCGATGACGAAGCGCATGGACGAGGTTGCGGTTCCGCATCTTCCTTCGCACATCAAGGCTCCCAAAGAGGGTGTCGCTCATAAGCTCAATGAAACTTTCGCAGTTAAGTTCGAGTCCGCCGCGTATGCCAAGGCCACGGCCCGCAGTTCGATTCCTCAAAAGTTCCCTTTCCTCTGTCGTCGCAATATCATTATCGGGAGGGTGTGGCAGGCTGTGTCGAATCACTTTGCCAGCAAAGGTATCGGCCAGGGCATCGTGCTAAGGGTCAACGGACACAAAGGCATATTGTTCTTCACGAAGAACGAGGAGGTCACCGTCCTGTGCGCGCTCGCTGAGAATCCTGATGCGTCGGCCAGCATCAAGTCTGAGTTTGCCGCGTTCCAGACCCTGCAGATGAGCAAGAAACAGGTTTCAACCATTGTGAAGGGTGCCGTCGAATAGGGGTGTGCCTGGCTTACTTCGCCTGCTCCCAATCTTAGATTGCGAGGGCGCCCTTCACCGGTCGTGCCGTGTGCGCGACGTGTGAGTGGGCGGCGGTCTTCATCTACCTTCAACTCTTCCTATTTTCCTCTTATTCTTCAATTTCCAGCTCTTCTCCGTCTATTTCTGGGTCTTCTTCCTCAATTTCCAGCTCTTCTTCTTTTTCTTTCTGGCTCTTCTGTCCCTCATCTCGTTCGTCCCCTTCTATTTCGCCCAGCTCTCTCCCGCCTGCCTGTTGTGCTCTGCCTTGTTGCCCTAGCTCCGATTTCTCCATCGTCACCTGGGGCGCTCGGTCTCTGTTCGGGGGCCTGTCGACTAATCGCGCCAAGCTCAAACGAAAGGTTCAGTGTCTGTCTCGGCTTTGTCAAAACCATGATGTCGTCTGTGTTCAGGAAGCCCATGGAAGTCAATGTGATTTGGGTCTTTTCAGCGAGGAGTGTGATGGTGTCCCTGGGAAGGGGGCGTTCTTCGACGATCGGGCGGGTGGTGGCAGTATTACTTTTGTGCACCCATCGGCTCCGAGGGCGGTTCGCCTCTCTCTCGTCTCTTGCGCTTGTGTCTGGGCGTATCCACCTTATCACTAGGCGCGGCGCCCGTGGTAGTCTGCAAGTCGGTAACGTGCGCGTGGGTCCTAGGGCCCCCATCTTACAACAAAAAACCGAACTTCGAGTTATTCGCGACCATGGCCTCGGAGCCGACGTTCGCGCGGTTTTCGTTTGCGGCGACTTCCATTTTCCTGCGGAAAGGGAGGGGTCTCATTCCGCTGATGGGAGGATTCGGTTTGGAAGCGCCGGCCGCAGCATCTACTTTAATTCTCTCTTTCCTGACCTGTGCGAGGTGGAGCAACGCCACTTCGCCCATCGTGTGATGGATGCGAGTGGTTCTAAGCCTGTCATCGCATCGCTTGCGCGGCTGGACCGCATCTACTGCAGCGATCCCAGCAGCGTACTCATCGATTTCAAGCCGAACAGTTTGCCGCTTTGGGCCACCCAAGGGGACTGGCCCATGTCTGATTATGCGCCAATTGTTCTCCGGCTTCACGTCTCGCAGCCTGGTGGATTTCGGATCCCCTCCGGGGTCCCCAGGCGCCCCCAGTACCTGCCGTTCCTCAGGGACCTCATGGATCATGCGGGCCCTCGCGATCCTGACCCCTCCCTCGCCCTGGCTGAAATTAAAGACATCGCCAAAGAGGCTGCGAACGTGTTATCGAGTATTCCCGATATGGTGGCCCCTTGTCGGTCCACTGGGCTTTGGCGGCCCTTCGTTGTGTTCGTCAAGGGCGACTCCTTTTTCTTCGAAGGTCTCTTGGTGCTTTTCCTGAATTGCGACGGTTTATCTGCGGGCAGTCTGGTACTTGGGTCGATGTCTCGGGCTTTCGTGGGTTCTTGGGGCAGCTCAAGACTTCAGAGGGGACCCCGGGAGAACGAGGAATCCGACCGTCCATCGATTCAAAAACAAGCTGTTCGCAACAAACTAACATCTTACTTGAGTGCGTGGGGAAAGGAAAAGGAGGATTGCCCTTTCTGGCGTCGTCGACCCGACAGGTCAGCAAGATTCGGGCCCTCGCTCCGCTGCCAAGTTGCTTGCCCAGCATTGGGGGAACGTGCGTGCCCGAGCAATTGGCCTCGCCGCGCGGAGAGGAGAACTTTTGCCGTTCATCCAGCAGGTGCCGCCTCTGATGTTCTCGGGGCTTGAGTTTGAAGAGTTTTGCCAGTTCGCCAATCGCGCTGGAGATTCCTGCTCGGGCCCCGATGGCATTCCATATAGTGCGTGGTCTCGACGCGGCACTTGCACGATGGGACCCTTGTTTGAGGCGTGCCGGGATCTTCTTGCCCGTGGACGGCTGCCTGCCAACGTTAACCGCGGAGTTGCCGTGTTTCTGCCCAAAGGGGAGAACCCCGTCGACGCCTTCGACGCGGTCTTCCGCACCCTGGAGCAGACCAGGCCGATTGCGCTAGGTATCTCAGACACTGAACTCGTCAGGTGAGCAGTCAATCAGCCAATGGCGCGGGTCCTTCAAGAATGTTGCATCGACTGTCAGCGTGGTCTTATTCCCGGCAGAAGCTTCAACAGCGTGGTTGCTCATGAAGCCAAGGCGGTTGAATGGTTTATCCACGGGCGGGATTCAAGCTGCGGGGTACGCTTCTTCCAATATCAAGGCTGCCTTTCCTACTCTCCTCCGCAGCATGATCATGTTTGTCCTGCGGGCTGTGAAGTTCCCTGGGGAAATCTGACGGGCTGTCGCTGCGCTTTATACAGATGTCTGGGTTTCTGTCTCCCTTTGTGGCCTCAGGATGCTGGTTGGTGGGTTAAGCGTGGGATTAAACAGGGATGCCCGCTCTCCTCATCTCTTTTTGTGCTGTGCATCGACCCCCTCCTTCGGATGTTGGACGCGAGGCTCGCGCGAACCCCGTCAGTGCTCGGGGCTTGTGCTGGCGATGTTGGGTTATGTGCGCAACGTGTTTATCGAGCGCTAGCTTGCGCCCTTCCCGTTTTTGCATGTGCCGCTCGCGCTGCGGGGCTAGTCCTTCACGAATATAAATGTCGGAGGTTAGGGGTGAGATCGCAGTGCAACGGAGACCCCCCGCCGGGAAATCGGTTTCGCGTTCGTGTTCGCGTCGTGCGTGCGGGCGAGGCGAAGCTGCGCGTGATCCTCCTGTAGCTAGGCCGAAGTAGGAGCGAAAATCCGTTCCCGTCCGCCGGTGGCTGGTAGGTGTCCCAGTTGGGCCGAGCGGTGTCCCGGGTGTCCCTGGTGTCAGTAGGAGCGAAAGTCCGTTTCCCGTCCGCCGGTGGCCGGGAGGTGTCCCAATTGGGCCGGGCGGTGTCCCGGGTGTCCCGGGCGTCCCGGCGCTAACGCAAGTCGCTAATTTCATAATTCATTTTTTGTCGGCGCCTGCGGCGGGCTTTCTGATCCAATCCAGCTTATCTTATCCAATCCATCTTGTCCAATCCAATCCGTCTTATATTATCCAACCCATCTTGTCCCATCTTATCCTATCCCACCCAATCCAATCCACCCAACCCAGTCCATTAATTCATTTGTATCTGCGCCTGGGGCGGGCCAATCCAAGCCATCTTATCCAATCCGCTTCTTGCAATCCAATCCATCTTATCTTATCCAACGGCGGGCTCTATTGTCAACTCCAGCTTATCTTATCCAATCCATCTTGTCCACTCCAATACATCTTATCTTTTCCAACCCATCTTGTCCCATCTTATATAATCCCACCCGATCCAATCCATCCAACCCAATCCATCAATTCATTTGTTTCTGCGCCTGGGGCGGGCCAATCCAATCCGTCTTATCTTATCAAAGCCATCTCTTCCAATCGAATCCATATTATCTTCTCCAATCCATCTCTTCCACAGAGAGATGAGATCAAGGTGACAGGCTGGAGGTCAGTCAGGGTTGGCATTCGATCTCAATCCACCCCCAACCTCCTTATCGCCCGCAGGGCGGTCGTATAGGAATAGTTGTTCCTCTTGTTGACCTCCCTCCTGCTGAATATGATCGTCTCATGCGTGCTGCTGGTCTTCCTTCGTCGTTCCAGGTGGCGAAGTATGCCAAGTATCTTGGAGTGTATCTTAGTCGTGGGGGCAATCAGCAATCGTGGATCGTTCCTGCTCGTAACTATCTCGCTCGGAGTCACGATATCGAAGCTCTTGGGGTTGGTCTCGTGAATAAGCATCGCCCTCTTCAGTCAGAATGCGCTCCGTTGTCTATCGTACGTGATGCAGTTCTTCTCTCCTCCCAAGTCTGCATCTGATACCGTCTCTGCAGCTGGGCAAGTCATGGCATGCGGGCCGCGGAACTCGCTCAATTCTGTCATGCTCGAGAATCTGTGCTCGCTCGGGCTGCCACGTCAGATGCGCAGGCTGGACTTGGTGTCGACGGCCACCTTGTACCGCTTCGCCTGCAACTCGATTGAGCTCTCCCGTGCTCGGACCCGAATTCAAGCGATGGCCACGAGTGCAGAATTCTGTGGGACAAAGACCCGTTCTGGCTTCAGAGTTCCTTGTTCGTACTGTGCCAATTTTGACCAAGTGTGCGCGATCCCCCAGGCTCCGACCGTTGGCATCCCGAGGATCCAGGCCGCGACTGAACGATGGCTCCGAAGTGTTGCTCCAGAAGGGTTCCGTGTTCCGCTCCTCTCCCGCATGAAGAAATTGACCTTGGCCTGACTCTGATGGCGCTCCGTAGGCTTGAAACCACTGTCCCTAGTCGTGTCATTGTTTCTTTTTAAACGTTTTCGGACAACTGGTATTGTTCTGCTCGCTTTCGGGGCCGTTCGGTTCTGTGTATCTTCTGCGGTGAACCTGGGTCCGATTCCTTTTTGCCCTACCTTAGTTGCCCGATCTCTTTTTTTAGGTCTTGCTGAGGAAGAGGAGACAGAGGAGGAGGAGGAGGAGGAGGAGGAGGAGGAGGAGGAAGAGATTGAGCGAGGAGCTAGAGGCGAGGAGCGAGGAGGAGAAAGAGGAGTCCAAACCCCCTCGAGTCATGAAGAAATAACGCGGCGGAATATCTTGCGCTATCTTTGGCCTCTGGGGGGGCCTTTGCTGGGCCTCGGGGGCGTCAGCGAAAAATCGACTTGGAATGACAAGCCGGTCCCGAGGAATCGGTCGAGACCTCTGGGGGTCGACGCTATGAAAAACTCATGACGTCGGGTGCCTGGGAGCACAATGTGCATTCGAACCTAAGACAGAACAACATCCCTCAAGAACACGAGGGCCCCCGCCGGCCAACAAGCACAGCACATCCAAGGTAGTACCCTCCCCAGGGTGTGCAAGAACATGCGCTAATTGCGAAGAATCTGAGGGTACCCTCTCCGAGCCGACCTCGATCCTATACCTCGGTCCGACTACAGAACGACAACAAGTTCCCCGCCCGCCTGGCGTTAGGTCGGGCATGTTCTCCTACAGGCGGGTTT